GTTTCCTGCTTTAGCGATCCCCTCAAACACACACTGGAACTTCTTCTTCAGATTAGATTTAAATGTAGATTGACAAATTCCACTCAAAGTTCCTAAAAGAATAAAGAAACAAAAAACATCAATGAAGTGCACATGATAATTTGATTTCTGTCAAGAAGGATTGAAAACATCTTGGTCATCTGCAAAACTAACTACACCATCAATATTTGGGGACTGCGCTCATGTATTATTTTGCCCCATTTAGTAAATCTGGCACCAAATCTGTAGAGAAATCTTCTTACTGCTCTGCAGACGGTCAGCCAGCTCCTCCTGCTTCATTCTCCTCAGGAAGTTAAGTGTGATCTTCACAAATGCCTCTCTGTTGCTCTTCCTCTGGTCATCATCCTCTTTCTGACTCCGTAAGCATTCTGGGTAATCTGGACTCAGAACCTTCTGGATCTTCTTCAGCTCCTTCTTCACAAAAGTGATGATGTTGTCCTCCAGCAGCTGGAACAGAATACTTTGTGAATGACCCAATCGGACTAAAATTATGGAGCCAAACATCAGATCCATGTTGGACACACTGACAATCCACTGGTCTACAAAGAGCAGCATGGAGATGACTGTGAACAGAATAGATGTAAAAAGTAGTTGTTGTACATGTACAGACCATAAATATGGAGTCCAGGTGGGTTTGAGGCTGCTGGGCAGACTGACCACTAGGAACCTCTGAGCTCTCCTGGTCCACTCTGTGGAGGAATCATGAAGAATTAGGTCAAGCCTGAATTTCCCTGGAGTTGTCAAAATGTAATGGTCCTGCCAATTAACCGAATTAACAGCTCAGCTTACTGTTTTACTGTGAGAGTGAATGGCAGCAGTTTTGAGTTTTAGGGTCAGCACTCTGAGAAATTACTCTCAGTCAGTGGAAGTATTTCAGCGTTTAAACTGTGTCTCACTTTAAAAGAATCAGCTTTATTCAGGGTGTTTTAATTCCTTACTTATGTCCAGTAGAATGATACTTCCTTGAACTAAAAGTATATTTTACTGTCTGGTCACTGTTCACAGACAAAGATGGATTCCAGGAGTGTTTTAGGTTTCCAGCTTTTACTTTCCAACCTGCACTCCAGGTGTGCAAAGCTTGTAGAGATTTATTGCAACAGCTTTTGTAGCTTTGATTTGCTTTAACTGCAAATCAAGGGTGGTTCAATAAAAGTACTGACTCAGGGATGGGGGGCTGCATACATCCTGTATGCATTG